GTTCGATGGGCCTTTTTTTTTCTCTCTCTCTCCAATGACACTGCCGATTGGGTGTTATCGGAGACGGGAGAAAAAAAAAAGGCGGATTTAAATAATAGATATAAGAAGGGAAATAAAAAATGAAAAGGAAAGGAAGGGGCCAAGATCGTGCGACACGACGATAACCATCTCGGGGTGGGGGAGAGGCAGACCGTGTGATTGTTTTTGACTGGACTGAAGAATGTCCCCTGTTCGATGCACGCATGTTAGCACACGGCCATTATGTCCATCTCACCTCGGGGCCGAGATGGATCGAGGGGGAGCGGGACGGTGACAGGGACGGGGATGGGGCCGGGGACGGGGACGGTGACGGGGCAGAAATCCCACTGTGGGCAAACACTCTCGCCACGCAACCACAATGGGGTATCATCCTTCGGAGGATTTATGAATGGGGTTCGCGGCGTTGTGTCCTCCCCTCCATCGGTGGTCCTTTTATTCATTCATTCATTCATTCATTGATGGAGGCACTCGGGCGGTGAGATTGGAGCGTGGTGGGTGCCGGGAGGTTCAGGAATGTTCCGCCGGAAGTGTTGGGAGGTTTTTTTTTGGAGCAGGTCGTGTGAGGGAATGCGAGGTCCTTTGGAGACTTGAGGGGGAAGGGGGGAAATTTGGAGAATTTTTGGTTCTCAGTCACTTCCACCTGAAATTTAAAAACCGAAAATACTTTTGAAGTCGGTGGAGCGGATGTCGCTCTTCAAGTCGCTTTTGCTTCATTTGTTTGCGGGCCTGAAATGGAATGAGATTGGACTCGTGAAAGGATCGTTGGCCTTGGTAAATTGCTCTCTCGGTAAATTGGCCTTGGTAAATTGCTCTCTTGGTAAATTGCTCCGAAGAGCAATTAGAAGCACTCCCGAGCACCTTCGCTTTCGTCGAGCCGATCGCTACGAAGCAGCGTTGTGTTTTGATTAGAAATCGGGATACCCTGAATGTGGGAGGAAACCCAAGGCGATGACGAAGGCGAAGTTTCCCGATGTGCGTGGAATCGCATCGGGATCGCATCGAAGCGATGCGATTCCGGGAGAAAAATCAGGCCGATGAACGAAGAGGCGAAGGATGCGATTGTGGACCAAAAATGGGCATCATACATCAAAAGTGGCAATGAAACCAGATCACGAATGGTAAATGACGGTCACGCCTAAATGAGCTATGGCTACGGAACATATGAATGGCGTAAAGCTTGAATGAGAAATGGCTTTGGAGCAGATCATGGATGTAGCTTAAATGAGGAATGGCTTTGGAGCAGATCATGGATGTAGCTTAAATGAGAAATGGCTTTGGAGCAGATCATGGATGTAGCTTAAATGAGAAATGGCTTTGCAGCAGATCGTGGATGTAGCTTAAATGAGGAATGGCTTTGGAGCAGATCGTGGATGTAGCTTAACTGAGAAATGGCTTAGGAGCAGATCATGAATGGTGATGGCGCAGAGACTGTGGCTTAGAAATGAAGGATCTTGGATCCGTTTCCCCCCTGCAACTCCTACTGGGGGTCCTTTCCCATTCTCCACGTCTTTTCGAGACAATGGGGTTCCTTTTCCCGTCTCGCTTCTTTTTTTTCTTCCTATTTTCGTGGTGTCATTTCGCAATGAGATCCCAAGAGGGTATCCATTCCCCGAGGGCAGGAGATTTCTTTCTTCTTTCGCGAGGGTGGGCATTCCATCCGAGTTTCCCCGGGTGCCGAAGCCCTTTTCTTCCGCTGATCCGACGAAGAATGAAGCCACTGAAGCCACTCGTGTGGCCTTCTTCTGAAATGAGCCCGAAATGGAGCAGGCATTTCTCTCGAGTCCTTGCGTCACGGAGAGCTCCAAAGTTTTCCCTGACAGCCCAAGAATGTAGGAGGACGTGCGAAATGAAGAAAGATGATGCCATTGCCCATTATACGTACTCGGTGCCCCCTGCCAGAGTGGGCAGGAACCTCCATTTCCCTCCACCTCCCTCCTTCAGGAGTGGGCAGGGAGGCATCTCCCTCCACCTCCTTCCTTCGGTGAGCAGGGAGGCATCTCCCTCCACCTCCCTCCTTCAGTGGACAGGAACCTCCACCTCCCTCCTTCAGTGGACAGGAACCTCCACCTCCCTCCTGCATTCCGCTCCGCACGTTTGAGTCCCACTTGAAAAAAACGCTGAACTCACCCAGTCCAGCCCGGTAGCCCACGGGAAAAAAAAAGATTGAAAAAAGAAAGACGGGGGATCTGGCAACCGTGCGCTTTGCCCCTCGCCCCTGGCGTCACATTCACCCTATTAATTATTATTTCTCCCATCCCCTGTTTTCATGCTAATTGCCTGACAAGTCTCATCCCTTTCTCCCTCCGACAAATTTCGCCCAATCAGAAGGCAACCCTGCCAAAATGGATTCCCCGAACGCATTCCTCCATGAGGTAGGAAAACCCAGGAAAATCGACCCAAATGGCATTCCTCCGTAACAGGCGCTTCGTGCCTTCACCGTCTCCTTCGGAAACGCCAAACAGGAAGGAACGAATAGAAATAACCGAAAGGTAACTCGGGGCGAAAGGTAACTCGGGGTTTCGATTTCACCGGTTTGCGCGAAATGGAAGTTTGAAATGGACAAGTAAAAATTTATTTTAGTTCGTTCGCTGAAATCCAGCGATTGACGGCGGTCTCAGGGAAGTATTTACACTCTTGGGTCACTTGGATTTCAGTTATGAAAGCTAATCCCTTCACTAATCCCTTTGAGTAGGGATTATCGAAAGGACTTTCGGAAGAACTACTTGAGTCGAAATTTTTGTAATCTTGAAAGTGCACGGGGAGACCCCACAACCCTCCCCCGTGCAAGATGGCCCACAATACTTCCCACCCCCGTGCAAGATGGCCCACAATACCTCCCACCCCCGTGCAAGGTGGCCCACAATACTTGCCACCCCTAAAATCCAATTCGATAGGCTTAAGCTCTACGTTCCGCCACATAATTTACTTAGCACTTTCTTCGCTGCGGTTCGTTTGATCGTTGTGTTATGAACAAGAGAATTAAAGTCAGGGAGAATGAGGTGGAGGGGGAGGGAGGTGTGAGGCGGGAAGGTGTGTAGGGGAGGGAAGTGTGAGGTGGAGGTGAGAGGTGGAGATGAGTGAGGCGGGGATATGTGGCAAATCAACCGAGAAGCAATCCATTTGTTCGCACGGAAAGCTGCACCCTCATCGCCGGCAATCTGCCAAGCAATCTGCCAAGCAATCTGTCGAGCGGGAGCCATGCAACGATGCTAAACACGCAAACGCCCATTCTCTGAAACAACGAATGATGAAACGATCTGCAGTGAAAAAGAATTAATTGCGCTTTGTAGCCCAGCGACAACATCGAGACTGAACCTATCGAATTGTACTTGAGGTGGGTGGGAGGTATTGTGGGCCACCTTGCACGGGGGTGGGAGGTATTGTGGGCCATCTTGCACGGGGGTGGGAAGTATTGTGGGCCATCTTGCACGGGGGTGGGAAGTATTGTGGGCCACCTTGCACTGGGAAGTATTGTGGGCCATCTTATACTTGAGACTTGAAGGAAGATTACTGAACTATGCTACTCGCTTTCCTCAACCACCTTTTCGGCCCTTGACGCCCAAAGTACACACGCCTACACGGACGCGCAACGAACACACACGCCAACGCGTGATGCATGCACCGACTGCTACATTTGACACAACTATTGCTGCATTTGATTTGTTTCAAGTCTGACCATGATGTCTTCGACTCATCATTCTCGTTCGTTCTGGTGCAGAGTCATCGCAGGCGGCGAAGAACGGAGGCTGCTTCCCTGCGGACAGCACGGTCGTCACCAAGACGGGGAGGAAGCGCCTCGAGGACCTTCAAGTGGGGGAGGAGGTGCTGGTCATGGAGGACGGGGGGAAGCTCGCCTTCGGGTCCGTCCTCCTCTTTCTGGATCGGGACGAGGGCGCCGCGGGGGAGTTCGTGACGCTCCGCACGGCCCGAGGGAATTCCATCGCGTTGACGCCGAGTCATCTGGTCTATTCGGTCCCGGCGGCGGCGAACGCGGCGAACGCGACGGAGGCGTCGACGGTGAGATTCGCGGGCGACGTCGAGGTCGGGGACGCCGTGTTGGTGAGGTCGACCCGAGACCCAACGCAGGTCGAAACGGACCGAGTGGTCCAAATCGGACGCGAGACCCGCCGCGGTGTGTTCGCCCCGTTGACCGACAGAGGGACCATCCTCGTGGACGACGCCGTCGCGTCCTGCTACGCCGTGATAGACAGCCACCGCGTGGCGCATTACTCCTTCCTCCCCGTGAGGTGGCTCGCCGCCGTGTTCCCGCCCGAGCGAACCGCCTCGCGGCTCGCGTCCGGCGTGCACTGGTACGCGGAGTTCCTCTACGCCCTCGCGCCGTACGTGCTCCCGTCGAGTCTGCTTTACGGCGTGTGACCTGTGATCCGAGTGACTCCTCGATTCGAAATGAGGTGACTGTGATGCGGCCGGATTTCCGTTTCCTTCTTTTTTTTTTGTTGTTTGTTCTCTTTTGTGACTTTTCTTTGCCTTTTTACAATTTTTTTCTGTTTTGACTGTTGGCCGGTTCAGAATTTGTTTCTTTTTCCTGCTTCTGTCCCCCCTCCTGGCGTTTTACAACTATTTTTCTTTTTCCTACTCCGATCGATTTCTCCACGACTCATACCGGCCTTTTTTTTATAATTGTTTTTTGTAAGATGCCATGAACAAAGGAAAGCTGTAGAAAAGAGATGCTAATTTATATATTTTGTGGCTCGGGATCTTTGGTGGCTTTTTAAAAAAAAAAAAAAATCGCATGTGTGAGTTCGCCCGTGTGTGTCTGTCTCAAGCATGAATGAATTCCTTCTCCAGTGCAGAACTTTTCCTGTGCCAAAGATAAAATGTACTTCTCTCGACGCATTGGAATAAAGACCGTATATTGAATATAAAAAAGTTTACAAAATTTTTCGAAAGCGAAAATCGAAGAACTCCAATCAACCAGAGGAATTTTTAATTAATTGCATCTATCTGGCCTGGATTCGTTGTTCGAATGCGAGAATATCGGATGATTGTCTGGGTTGGCGGACGCATCCTGCCATCTATGCATGTAAATGCAAAGCACGCGTTTCCTGGAATTTGAGGTAGATGTCGCTCACGTCCCCGCTCCCGTTACCCTTTCGGGGGTCTGCTTCCACTCCGCAGGCGCGCTGGAGGCCCCGGTGTCGTTTGGGGGCCGTCTCTCGGCGAGTCGGGACGGAATTACGAATTATGGTATGATCTTTACCCCGTTCTGAAGCGTTCATCGTTCGTGATGGGGCCTGTACCGTCCTTCCTCGGTATCTTTAGGTGCGATCGTGCCTTTCTGGTGATATGGGCCTCAGTATAATGCCAGGTTCCGTCGTATGCAAGGCCTGGCCCACTGGGTTGTGGTTAGGCCTAATTTTTGGCTCGTTTGGTTTACTGATTCTCATGCGGTGTCCCAAGGCTGTCGCTTGCAGTGTCTAGGCTCACGTCTCACTTTAATGCATAAAATCGCCCCAATCTCCCACGCCATGCCAGCTGTCTGTTCTAGTACCCGGACAGGTACTGGGCCAGGTACTAGACCCTACAGTAGTAGGCCTACTAAGAGACGAAAACGAGAGCTCCAAACGACATCGTCAGCCACGGCAATGCGTCCATCGGCTCCGGTCTAGCCCAAATCGGTTCAGTTATCAAGGGGACAAATTGGATTCATTGTCCTTCGGTGTCAACAGTGTCAGCACTATTACGGTTTTATGACTCCCCTTCCAAAAAAAAAAATTATGACCCTGAGGCACCTCCATTTACACCTCCACTGGCACCTCCTTCGTCAAGATGCTATCAGTAGTTTTGCTTGTTCACGGTCGGTATGTCAAATATGAAATCTTTCATGTTAGTACATGAAGTACATGAGTGCGAGGCAGTGTAAGAACGCTTGCAACCCTTTGCTTGGGAAGCCACCAAGCGCCTTCCGAGACATTTACGGTTGTCTCCCTCTTCCACCCCATCTCGGCGAACTGGCCGAGACGCAGTTCGTCGGCGATGACGTCAGGCGTTCTTGATGACGTCACGTGCCATCGGCTGCTGGAGTCACAACCCCGTAGACCAGTTCTCAAGAAATCTCTGCATACGGCCTGGCCTTTGTCACTTTTGAAACTGGTCTTTCAACTTGGTTCATCTGCATTTTATTGTTTCCTCGTTGAGATTGCGATACTCGCCGTGATAGCCGTAAAAAACGTCCTGCATCCACCTGGCTGAACGACCAGGTGGATAGGGGATGGATTTAGAACCAGGTGGAAATACACCTGCACAGTTATTTCGAACCAGGCGGATTTTCCCTCGCGGGTGGATTTTCCTCCGGGTGGGACATCGCTCCAGCAGGTGGAAATACGGGGACATGCACCTGGTTCCACCTGGAAATCTGGAGGTGGACGTTTTGTAAGGGAGGTAGCAGAACCAGACATTTTCGCGATCGTGTTTCGCAGAATATTTTGTTTATTTGAGATTATCTGTTTTCCAGGATTCCTTTGACGTCAGAGCTTTGCAGTCTCCAAACTCGCAATAATAATCACAGGAAGTCAGGCTGCGTTTTCTTTCTTTCTGCCATGAATCGCCTTTAAATTGAACGTAAAACTAAATTGACATAAGAACATTCTTCTTTCATGAGGGCATTGTCCCTCCGTGGATCTTCCTGTGTGTTCGTGAAATGAACATCGACTCATCGCGGAAATAATGCAACAGATCCAATACTTCCAAGCAAAAAGTTCAAATTCTGTACAAGGCCAATGTAAATGTAAACGACAAAAGCAGCGTTGAGCACTAGCAGATTCAAGTCACACACGTCTCGCTGCTTTTTTTCAGTGAGATATGTGGAATCGCTGAAGGTTTATCTCAGTGAGAGATGTGGAATCGCTGAAGGTTTATCTCAGTGAGAGATGTGGAACCTCGGAGCCCTGTAGTAGCCATCCCTGGATGTCTCGCTCTCCCTCCGCTTGAGCCTCATTTGTTCCGCTCGCAAGCGCGGGAACTGCCAGTCGTCGTCCCAGGAGGCTTGCTTGATGAGGTTGGTGTCGAGGTGCGTGGAGGAGGGTGTGTCGTTTGGGTTCAGGATCTGGGGGATCGTGTGGTCGCGGGGTCGGTTGGAGATGAAGTTCCAGTGGAAGCCGGAGGGGAAGTTGGTGTTGGGGGACCAGGTGGTGACCTCTGGCCAGGGCGTCGGGGTCGTCTTCTCGAGGTCGTCTTCCTTTTCCTTCTTGTGATGTCGTTTGTACGTGTGGGCGGAGTGGAGCATGCTGACGTAGTCGTCGGTCGCCGTGGATCTTGCAGTCGTCGGCTCGGGTGTCGTCGGCCAGGGCGTCATCGATGTCGGCCAGGGTGTCATCGGCCGGGATAGCGGAGGCGTGAAGGGAGGGTCCTTTCTGGGTGGTTCTTCCTGCCGGGTTGGGGGGTTCCATTCGTTCTGGTCTTCTTCCAGCTTCCGATCCCTGCCGGCATACCAAAAGATTCAGATCAGTGATTGGACTGTCCCCAATGTCAGTTCTCTCTGATATTCATAAATCTCGCTCTATTGCCCAATTTACCCTTGGTTTCGGGAGTTTATAATTTGGGGGAGGGGGAGGGGGAGCATGGCGTAGTTTTGAAGATGAGATTCGAGCAGGATAGTTAATTACTTCTCTTATATTGGATTCCTCGAGTGGCAGGATAGAGATTCCATTTGATTAGCACTCTAGGAAGAAACTTGTTACGACATTTTTTCCCTCATGAAATGAGTTCATGAGTTCATGAGCTTCATGTGTTATTTGGCGTGTCTCAGATAAGGTGATCAGTTACAATGCCGAGCATTTTCAGGGGATCTAATGACTCGGAAAATATGGAACCATCAAGAAAATTGGTTGGCCTTTCATTTTCCTGGGAAAATGAAAGGTCAACCAAAATCGGGACAAAAATGTGAAGTTTTCTCATTTCAGCATCACAAAAAATTGCCAAAAGATTACGGAATAATAATAGTATCGATCGGAAAACATTTAAAAAGGAATTTGGAGTCGCACCAAAGATCCGGTAGTAAGTCAGATTTCTCATATGAATGAGACAAAATGACGTGACGCATATTTTCTTGCATGATTCCTTTTTTTTTAATTAAATTTTTGTTTTCCCGTACTAGAGTGAGAAGTTCGACTGCTGAGATGAAAAAATGTATACTTAAAAAAAAATAGTGAATTGATGAGGTTTTCAAGGTGCTACGCCTTCATCGACTGGATATAATTTATATATGATCCGGAGCGACGCGAGATGATCGAAATGTGATGCAGGTTTCAGTCGTAGTCGTCTCACCACTTCGTGTTGTCTTCAGGCGCAGTGATGCTGAAGATATTATCGTCCAGAGTCGTATTTTTATCGTTGGCATCGGCATCGCGAGATATGAGGTTCCTGGAGTCGCCGCCTGGTGTAATGAGTCCCTGCAGGTAATCCTGAACCCCCAGCTTGAGTGCGTCCTCGCCCAACTGCACGGGCTCCCCCGGGTCCCCACCCGCCGGATCGTACTTGAGGAAGAACACCTCCGGAGGGTCCGGTTTGAAGGGCGGGTACTCCGGGACGACGGGGGGAGGCGGCGGCGTCGTGGGCTTGGGCATCAGGACGTACACCAGCGTCTTCTGCTCCGGGGGCAGGACCGGTGGCGGGGGCTCTGGGTACTGGAAGGGCGGGGGCGTGGGGGCCTTGATGAATATCACCTTGTAGTGCTTCTCTCTCTTTCGAGGCGGGGGGCGTGGCGGCCTGGGTGGAGGGTGCGGGTTGTGGTAGAATCTTCTCGCGGGAGGAGCGTGGAAGTAGATATGCTTGTGGATGACCGAGTCTCCGTGGTCCTCCTGTTCGTAGTAGACGCTGCACCAGCACAAGTCGCTCATCAGCGCCAGCGTCACCATCGCCTTCGGAAAATCCAGGTTAAGGACTGTCATGATATCCGACTTCGTCTCATTCGTACACTTTCGATACTGAGAACCTCGCAATCAATCACGCTTCTCAATTTTAATTCGCTGTTTTGCTTTCCAACGACCAACACACCGACACCGCAGTGGGTCGACCATGTCAACCCCATACTGGCGCCAGTGTGGCTGCCAACATTTGATTGTAGAGCGAGCACGTCATCTAACTCTTACTCGAACGAAGGTACCCATAAACGAAGCGAGATGTCGCGTAAATCGTTTATACTGTAAGTCGCCCCCAGATGTCGCGAAAACAAATTCCCTCTACTTCTCATGCAGAACTTCATCTAGCAGTTAGCCTGAAGGAAGACGCTGGAATTCCTCGACAATTTCGTTTAAGCAGATTAACCAGCCCGGGAAGACTCCTCTCAATTCTGGGTTGGTTCAACTGAGGACCTTATTCTTTGGGTTGGTGATAAGTATTAAATAATTCGAGGGTTT